TTTTTGAAAATTTGAAGAAAATTTTTCTTTTATAAAATTTTATTTCATATCTATCAATAAATTAAATTGTCTACTTCTATTAATATTACTGCTACTTATTTGATTAATAAATAAATCAATAATATTCTCAATTGTTTTATCTTCTTCGTCGTCACTTTTCTTTATATTATACGTTTTCAACATAATTTTATAGGAAATGAGAGTTATTTTTATAGAAATTGTTTCTTAAAAACTTACTTATTGTTGAAATAATTGAAATTTCATTAATAAACGATTGTGAATCTTGTTGAATAGAAATATTTGATGAATTATTTAATTCTTCTGTAATTTCTTTTAATTGATTTCTTAAATAATTCAAATCAATTTCATTAAATTCATTTTCGTCATGAATTTGTTTTATTTGCTCAGATAAATCTTTAAATTTCTTTTCAATGTCAGTAATAAATCTTCGCGAATATTTGATGACAATTTCTCTACAATTTTGTGCTCTCTGTTGAATTATTTCAATTGAATTTGTTTCCCACTGATTAATTTGTTTTATTAATGAATGATTTAGTGGATTTTGTTTTTGTTGATTAATTCTTTGTTTAAATTCATCATAATCATTAATAATATGATTTAATTCTTCATTTAATATTTGTTGGTGTTCTGTTAAATGTGTTAAACAAAATTTTTTTGAACATCCTTCACAAGGATATGTTATTTTTTCTTTGTTACATGAAAAACATTGTGTTTTTTTGTTTGCCATTGCCATGTCTTTGTATCGAAAGTTAAAGAAATGAAGATCTCCTTATCTACTGTTTTAGATATAAACTCAATGATTCGATGATAATAAACACATTGTTCGATAGTAGAAGAAATCTAAAAAGAATTTTGTTGTGAAAAGATCTTACTAGTAAAACTGATGAGGTATCTAAAATGATTGGATAAAAATTGAGAATTGATTTCGTTAATTTCAATTACAAAATCGAAACGATTTTCATGATATTTTTTCAATGAAAATATGTTTTGATGTAGATTGAGGGTTTGTTTGCTAGTGAGTTCTCCTTAATCCACACCCACACTCATGAGCGCTTATTTGAATTAACTTAATCTCATTGAGACTTATGCAAAACACCGAAATGAATTTGCAAAGCTCTGGAGCAGTTGTGCTAGTACCCATATTAGTATATCTTTTATATATGCAGCACTTTCTTTTCATTCTAAAAATTCTTCATATCATCATTGCAAGAATAATTTGAGAAGTCTATTTCATCAATATGATCATTTAACTTTCGTAGAGTTTGCTCTTCTATTTCTGAATCATCTAATCTACGATACTTTGTTGAATTTGTCGTTGCTGATTGACTCCTGATAGATTAAAACACCAGGAATATCTTACAAATAACAAATGAAACAATAATACTCTTTTCTTCAGTGCCTTTGAATATATATCATGTGACCATCGAAGAGAACGTTAGGCAAATATTCACTAAGCACAGCTAAATACGAAGGAAAGAAAAATAAACAAATATAAATATGATATTTTTTCTCTTCTTATTTTTCCTCTTGAAAATTACGTTCGCAAACCGCACTTTTCTATTTCGCCATCGTTCGTGTTATGTAGAGTGGCTTTATATGATGACTTGTTATATCTGTTCTCTTCCTATTCTCGACCAAAGTTCGATGCAGAAAGGTAAAGAAAGTAGAAGAATGTATAAATATTGAATTATTATTTGTTCTATTCAATTTATTTGGCTCTTTAAATACAATTTTTTTGTAATACGACAAAAAGAAACAGTTAATTAAGTTGAAGCATTTCACGTGAGGCTGAATTGAAAAAAAATAGAAGGAAAAATTCAACAAAGAATTATAAGTCATACGACAAAAAAGAAATAGAAATAAATTGTCAATATAGATATATAATATATTGTGTAGAAGATATAATGATCTATTTATAATAAAAAAAAGCATTATCGGTTAAGTGAGAAGTATAAGAAAAAGTGAAACAAAAGAATAAATTCATATCAACAAGATTATTTTTTTTATAAATGTAATTTCTTTTTGCCTATCAATATTTGCATTATTTGTTTATATGCACATTCTTTATTGTTCTCCATAGTTTTTTATTCTGATTTTAGATTCTTTTCGGAGATACTTTAATGTTGAAATATTCGATTGCTAAATAATTCTATGACACAAAGAAGTTGACGAACTTGAAACGGATCCGAACAAATCTTCACCAAACAGATGATGAAGTCGTTTTTTCGCTAAAAAACTTTTTTATCATTGAAACTTTTTGGTTCATCATACAATACAAACCAGTTTTAGTTCGTTAAGAACTACGCAATAGTGTCTTCAGATTTTCGATGACATTTAACCGATTCTAATGAAAGTAAAAAATGCCCGACGTATTTTAATATTTATTAATTTATCTACTATATTTTGTTCTATATAAAGAAATAATGGGTATTAGTAATTTGCGCTAACACCACGAACACCCAACTTTGTAAGAACGCACATAGGTGAATATTACGAACACCCACAACTTGGAAAGTTATGCTCACGAACACCCACGAATACCCACTTTGTCCGACTTTTAGAAGAAATAAACCGTCAACAAAGACGAAAAAATGACCCCCTTCAACACGAACACCCAAAATCTTCCTTATAGTCCGAACAAAAAACCAAAGCGTTCTGTCCGAACACCCACAGAAACATTCGCTCCATCCATTGGTATATGATTCGAATACTTTTAGACGAATAATTAGTTTGAAAAAACTCCAAAACACTACGTTATATTTACAATAAACTTCAATAACTGAAAAAATTGAAAAATTTTTTAAATACAATTTTCATATCTGGTTCGATAGAATTCGATGGACTGAGGCAGAATATGTATTTTTCAAGGTATTTAAAGACGATTCTTTGAAAAAATCAAGGAATTTTTTTGCAGCATGATATAATTATTTTTTCGGTTATTGAAGTTTATTGTAAACGTAACTTAGTGTTTTGGAGTTTTTTCAAACTAATGATTCGTCTAAAAGTATTCGAATCATATACCAGTGGATGGAGCGAATGTTTCTGTGGGTGTTCGTGACAGAATGCTTTGGTTTTTGTTCGGACTATAAGGAAGATTTTGAGTGTTCGTGTTGAAGGGGTCATTTTTTAGCCTTTGTTGACGGTTTATTTCTTCTAAAAGTCGGACAAAGTGGGTGTTCGTAGCATTGGCCTATGTGCGCTTTTACAAAGTTGGGTGTTCGCGTGAATTACTAATACCCCCATACTACCGTTCCGAGTTTTGCTATGATTAATACTCAATAGAAAAAAAATATAATTACCAAACATAACATATGGAGGAGCAATTATCGTTTTTGAGACGATCGAAACTGGCATAGTGGATAATTCCCATCACGTATTTGAGAAAACATCTCAATATGGAGAAAACTGTAATCAGAAACCATGGGACTTGTCTTTTGTTAGATAATTGATAGAAATATACAAGAAAACAGTAGCACTATTCTCTATTTATTTATGAAATACGCTGATACTATTTCTTTCACAAGAATATCAAATAAGTCTGGCACAGAATACGACCTCATTCAATTCCGACTCGGTTCCAATTTTTGTCAATTCCAATTCCAACTTCAGTCAATTCCCACCCATTCCAACTCCAATTCTTACCCTTTCCTTCAATTCCAAGTTAAAAACTAGAACTGATGCATGCCTAGTCTTGAACTCTACTAAACGTTATTTTCATTGACAAAGTACTTGTTCGTACTTTAGTCGAGTAAAATATGACAAGGCAATTTTTGTCTACAGGCCTTGTAATGATGACGAAGCAGATATGTCAAAAGAAAGAAAGAAAGAGGAGAATCGATCGTATATAAACCCGTCACATTTATTCATAGAATACATATTCTATTAACATAAAACAGATTCTACAAATCAAATGCCTTTACATCGCATCTACCATCCATCATCTGCTTTACATCAACGGAGAAACAAGAACTTTCCGAACGCACAACTGCTCTTTATACTCCTTCTAGTATACCTGCATTTTATGTTGTCATTTTTTTCATACCAGTGGAGAAGAAATCATTCTTTGTTGGTAGTAAATCCACTGATAAGTTTATTCAATTTGTTGTTTGACATCTTGTTCGACCCCATTACAATGACGAGGAGAGAAACAGATGTTCGAACTTATATAACAAGGCCATAGCGCCGTATACCAGAGACAAAGGTTATGATTGAGAGGTACATGTGGAAGAAGTGTCGCCAGAGCTGTGGCGAGAAAACGGAATATACTACGAATCAAATATCTTGAAATTGAAAAAGAATGGGCCAGACTTAATAAACCAATACCATACTGAAATCATGAATCGCAATCTTAGAGAACAAATAAAAATTTTATCTTCATCTTTAGAAGTTATTTAAACAGTGTGACATATCAAGGTTCGATAGAATGATAAGAGAAAATTAAGAGACTTTGTTTGTGTATGTTCATTTACAATCAAATATGAACCGTTCACTACTTCACTTTTACTCTTTGTGAGAACGATCGTGATCTTGATCTCGAAGACAATCTCTACTGATCGAGCAATCATTTTATTCATTTTTTTCTTGATAATAAAATGAAAGAAAAAGATAAATTTCAAAGATACATCGATTAGTTTTGTGAATCGATGAGACTATGAGTGTTGACAAGATAAATAGATGCTCACACCTTCATTGTCACCCTCAAGAATCTAGAAAAATGGAGTGATTATGCTCGCTATTCTATCTCCGATGATGTTCCGTGGGATAATTTTGGAAAACTCGATTATCCCAATAAAAAAGGTTTATTAACACAAAACGGAAAAATGCATGTAAGAGAGATTAACCCCTGTAGTACCAGCCTTTTTATGCTTTAACTGCAAGTGTTCTTCGAAGTGAAGTTGTGAGACTTTTACATCGGATTTCGCACAGATGATGCCAAAACAATGATCTATTTAACTTCTACGAAAAATGAAAACTACATTTATTCACACTTTGTTACTTTTAAAAATACATTCAATTTGAATATAGGGGTCAAAAATGATCCCGACTGGTACTGCGAGGGTTAAGGATCGACAAATAATCCTCATCGACATTCATGCCATAGACAAGACGCATATCAGCATATCTCACACAGATTCTTCGTAATTCCATTCTCTCACATCTATTCCATAGATATTTATCTCAAAGTGATCTCTCCCAATATGGTGTTCAACAACAAAACAACACATACGTCATAAAACATAGTCCTACGTCCCATCTCTTATCTTCTCACACATACTCTACTATAAAAGAGCATAGCACATTAGAACAAAAATCATTTTTACTATCCAAACTCAACCACTGCGCTTATTATGTGAGTAACTACTCTCAACCATTATAACTCTTGAACAAGCATACTTTTCTTTCAATAACTACTGGCTTTATACGATTATATGGACTACAACCACAAGCGTTACAAACGCATCCCTCATCCAATCAATCGAACACATTCAAGTAGGAAATTTTAGATTATGGCAGCTCTCTCACACCACTGCGACATGTAGTCACTTGTGATCATGGTGATTGACTTCACTGTGGTTACCTGGTGATTGTTCTTGATTTGATTCATATTGAATTGAGTCGAGACTCTTCTGCATGTCAAGCCATCTGATGATTGTCGTAGCGGACATGAAATCTGGATTATGGCAGCTTTCTCACACCCACATCCACACCCACCCATAATAGTGATTAATCGATTCAATCAGAAGTATCTTGGAAGCTTTTTCAAACTCTTGAGGAAGATCAAAACGATCCTCGTGTAACTATTTTGAAATAAATTTGTTAAATACACCAATCCATACAAGATTGCGAAGATAAATCATAATAACGTATATGTCAATCGCACACAATATTATATTATGTAGCTGCCATTTCATGAATACCAATAAGAATTCTTATTAGAACAGTGCGCTGAGTCTTATATAACTTCAATTTTTAGAATTCGGAAGCCGATCAGCAACGATTAAAGGTATTCTAAAGATATTTACTTGTTCGATGGTATTAGATAGTCAATACTATCTGCTGAGATCCTTAATCAAGATTGAAGCACATCGTGTGACGCTTGAAATTATGGTCTATTTTTTGTCTAAGGACAAAAACACCGAGTGGAATAGCATGCGAAAGCCGTGTAAAAGACAACTGACCTCTGGATGGAAATGAAAGAAGATAGAGAAAAAATGAGGCAGTTTTCTCTTTTCATATGAAAGCTATTTTAATTTTTTCATAAATTTTATTATGTAATCTATACTTAAAAGCATGCACTACAAAAGCATTTGAAAAAGTCTCGTAAAATACGTTCATCGAATAGTTATCATTCAGACGATTATATGCATTCGCAAATAATGTCTCTTGCCAATCCCGACTTGACCATTCGGGTGAATTCAGACAAGCTGATTTGGCCAGATCCATCTGTATCAGCCAGAAAAACACAAAGATCAACACGATACTAAAATAAACAATGATTAGAGACAAATTAATTCAACTTTTCATTAAATTAAAAATTACTTCATCGGTAAGGATTGACAAGAAGGCCCGGAGTTCATCGGGTGAAATCAGACCGTCTGCTAAACTGACTGTCCGACCGTAGAGGCCTCTACTGCATTGGTCGAGAATGTCGAAGGCGCGTTTAATGTCTAATTCTTGTTCCTGGTGATTGCCTAACATGAATACTTGCAAGACTTGTAAGAAATCATCCCATGCCAATTTAGGAGCTGATGAAGAAACCTTCGCTACAATAGAATGAATTAACAAAAGATTACATAGGTCATAGCTTAAGAATCGATTATACTAACCGTTTTTGTACTCTTCCTCCGTTATAGTGCGAGAATGAACAGATACGTTGTTGTCGAGCAATTCCACACTAGCACTTGTAGTATGACCACTCACACCTTGCACCTTGTATCTGGCAGTTCGAGTCGACCACAGTGATGATGCAGGAAAGGAGAAGTTTGCTGTTTGTTTAATGAAACTTAACAAGTAGAAATAATATGAATGCACTTACCAGGCCTTACGAATCTTCCGTGAATTCTCGTACCAGCAGTCCCTAATATTTTTAACAAGCAAATAAGACAAGTAACTAGGATATGTAATGAAAATGATATACTTACAACCAGCTGGAAGCAGACCGTAATGAAAGAAATCGAATCCTCGTGGTCGAGAAGATTGACTGCTTATGTAATGGTCACCTATTTCAATATCATAAGATGAAATCAAGTGAAAGTCTCGTAAGATTAACTACAAGTGGTAAGCAATGTTAAATTAATTATTTTTAGATTTCAGAGTGTGACCGCACTACGTCGAAAATTTATCCGTACACTCTTTATAGTTTTTGTTCTTTTTTCTTATTCAATCGTATAGCTTCGAAGTTGATTTTTATAGGATAAAACAAAAAACTTGTCAATACAGTCCCTTTGGGGCTAAAATGTGGAGCTCACAAACTATTTGGGATACAGATACAATGAACGGTTAAAATCTAGTCTACGAGTAAAAAAGCGTGTTTGCGTTTCGCCAATTATTATTCGATAGTATCGAAACCTGTCTTGTTAAGGAGGGGGGGGAGGGGGAGGGGGAGGGAGAGGACCCAAAACTTCACCCTCAAATTTACCCTCACATTTTTAGATGTGAGTTCACAAAAAAGAAAAACAAAATTGGGAAGTGTATAGATAATTTTTCGACTCATTGCAGCACCTTCTATTTGTATAAAAAAATATTTTTTTTGTTAAGTCGTGACTGAAAGTTGTATCGTATGAATAATTTTATATCATCAGTTTATATGTCCTAGACTATGTTTACTTCAACTTCGTGAATGCGATGTCAGGAAATGACTATTTCTCTTTTTCTTTAATCTTAAACAAATATCTACGCTTATCACATAAACATGTAAATTGGGGATAACATCGACTTAAAAAATCCACAACACATATTGTGAAAAGAATCCTAATTATATGAATAAGATTAAAATTGTTTCACCTACACATATATATATATATATATTTCTCTGTTAGTTTTCGAAGGTCTTAGTCGACGTGAAGCGATGCAACTACACGATAATGTAAATAACTGAAAAGAATAAAAAGAGCTTTATTCCATCTACTTTCTAAAACTTTCGATTTGGATTCGGTCTAGTATCGGTAACTATATTGTATTTCTGTTAAAGTTGTTGTCTGTATCTTCTTCATCTTTTTTTATTTTTTTTTGTTTAAATCATCTTGAGGGTGTGGGCGTGGGTGTGCATGGATACAAAATCAATAACCTCACCCACATCCTCACACATTCCTGCAATTATTTTTTCATTTTAATACACTTCCTATTTATCTCTGTTAAAATCTGAAAGTCTTAGGGAAGGGTAGAATATTAAAAAAAAAGTCTTACCATGCAGGTATTGGCCTCCACTTGCTAGTCCATAACCAATAGTACTTCCGTGCAGGACATGTCCGCCGATGTGTTCACTAAATCGTGACATGATATTTCCGTCATCGACATTTCCGCGCAGGACATGTCCGCGCAATGTCTCTGAGTGAGGGTACGAGCGTTGATTATATCGGTTACCCCCTTCTAACATATGAACATCATGGATTCCACCGCTGTGTTCACTAAATCGTGACATGATATTTCCGTCATCGATATTTCCGCGCAGAACATGTCCACGCAATGTCTCTGCGTAAGGGTACGGGCGTGGGTAAATGCCGTTTTGTGTAGATCCGTGGTAATATTGGTTACCCCCTCCATACATATGATAATCATGGGTTCCACCGAAACCTCCATATCCTGGAACTAGTGGTGGTGCTGCTGGCGGGAGTGTCTGAAATAAATAATTTTTATATAGTTCGTTTTTTGTATAAAAGATCATACTAAATCTTCAGAAACACCAGCTTCACGAGCCAGTCGAAGAAGTGTTGTTGTATCTAAAAGTGATGACCCATAACGAGTTCGATAATATTCAGGATTTTCACGAGCAAAAAGAGTTTCAAATCGGTGATGTATGGATGCATGACCAGCTTCATATTGGATAATCCTAAAAAATGGCTCTGGATAACTTATAGCAGGAGGAGCCGGATATGTGATTGTTTCACGTTGAGGTCGAGGCCCATAGGGAAGCCATCGCTCAATTAAAATATCGCCTAAACAGTAGCAAAACAAAAAGAACTAAAAAGAAAGCTGAAGATAATATTTTACGTGGTCTTGTTGGAAGAGCTGGATAACGTTTGATAAGAACTGATCGTGCTGGAGCAGGTATGGCAGGTAGATATTTAGTAACTATAAAACAAAATATATAGATCAATGCAATGAATCTAGTTTTAAACATTTTCTTCAATTCTTTATATACTTGTTTCACTGGGAATAATTGGTGGCGGTATTGGTGGTTCTTCACGGAGGATAAGTGGAGGTAGTTTTTCAGGAAGTGGTGGACATTCGTTTATGACAAGTGTTGGCGGTGGTGCTGCTTGTGGTGGACGCACTTCTCTGATAATCAGTGGCTAAAATCATCAAACAAAGATTCATCGGATTGTATATATAAACATATATATATGTGTATCTTATTACTCCTGGTGGTGGAACTTCTGGTGGTTGAAGAAATCGAACACAAATGAGTTGTTCATGTGATCCGTAAGCTCCATGATCACCGTGAGTTAATACTTCTCGAACAACCTGTGGACTAGAAGATCGATAAATATTCGTGGCTGTTTTGTCCAGATATTCATTCGTTTCAAAAATAGTCGATGTATTGACTGTTACAGTCTCACCAGACTCAACAGCTTGTCCTGAACTTCCAAATCCCGAATGTTGATAGTGATAGAAACCATCGGTGTTATTGGCATCATAATATTGATCTCGTTGATAGAAACCATTGATATTACTGGTATCATACAAGTGATCTCGTTGATAGAAACCATGAGTATTACTGGTATCATAAGCCTGATTTAGGTAGCTTACATCAAATGACCGAACAACGCTTGTATTATCATTGCCTAGAATACAAATTCCATTGGGGGTGGGTGTGGATAAAAAACTTTTTGTTTCGTAGAATTGGGTGATCATTCTAGCGAAAAAATTCAATTTCTGAAGCCATATCTCGGAAAACGGTGCCATAGGATTGAATCATGCAGATACGTGTGTGAAACACCGCGCCCACTACATGAAAGAGATTTTTCGTGCAATATCACCCCGTGGCGGATAAATTCGACCATAGGCAACGCCTCTCTCAATGTAAACAAGTACCAGTTTTTTGGTAAAAAACGCGATTTTGCAGTCTTTTTGCGCTCAAACAAAAACATTATCGAGAAAAGAACCTTGTATACCGATGTCGATCTGGTCTTGCTATTTTACTTGCTATAAGTCTCGTTGAGCATCGCCCTATGTCACGTTTCACGTTTGCCTATCACTCACTCATCCTTCAGGGCACACTGGATCCTCCCTAGCCCCTCTGATCATACAAGTATGATTCTCATCTCATCAGAGCGTGGTCCAGGTGTCAAACTTAAGTATTCTGACTCAGTTTCTGATTTCTGGCTGAGCATAATCAACTCAGCAACATCTGATAGAAGCTCGTAAGACAAAGGTTTCGTGCAGCGAAAGCACCTATGCAATCAGTTGGCAATCTTTCTCGTAGTTTTTTTCTTAAGTCGATCGAAAGAGTTCTGAAGTATCATGTTATGCTCTAACAGGCTTGACTATGTGTGGTTTTAGGAAATTCTCACCTAAAGATGCTACTTTGTCTAATGGACAGAGAGGCGTTCCATAGAGTGGACTGTGTCCGCAACGAGGTGCTATTACACAAAAAATATTTTCTATGCAGCCGGTGACGTGTTTACCTCACCTGTCTGCATGATTCTATCATGTACTCCCATATCCCGAAATATAGCTCCAAAAGCCGAATTGTTCCACTAGAAAGACTATCCAATTTTATGATCAAAAATGTGGTTGGCTCTGCATAGATTCATTCTAAGCTTCCATTGTTTTCCTCAGCAAATTCTCGTTTTTTTGAAGGCTCACGATACTAGTCGAAACAAGTGATGCTGCTGCTAGATGCTACTTGAAAACCAATCAGATTTCATTATGAGTAACATAAGCGTGTAACTAAAAGTTTTCAGTTTATGTCGCAACTGTTCGCCACCTCAATGATTACACACATACGGCCTGCTAGAGTAAAAAATGCTCTACGAAACGCACCAAACCGTGAAAAAGAGTCCTTGGATTTTTTTTAACACCCTACAACATTCTTTCCGTTTTCTCTTTTATGAAAACTGTTTGCAGTGTAAAATCATCTTCCAGGTCACCGAATATTTTATATTCGATCGAAAAACCTTACCTTGCGACCATCGTCGAATAGCATCAGCACCGCTTGCGCTGATTTCAGCAACACCTTCCGAAGTCAGAACTTCACAGGTTGAGGAGAGGACGATCAAACATGGTATCCCTGTGACGTTGAATTTCTCGCTGAGTGTACGCTCGCGAGCTCGATCTGTCAACAAAGAGCATATAAACAACGTTCATCAATTCGAAAGAAATAAAAGCATAGTAGAGTAGCCGTAACGTCATGTTGCGTCTGACTCTTAAAAACTATTCCTGTCTTATTTTCATATACTACGCTGAATCGTACCGCACAATTAGATATTAAACTTGAACAAAACTTTCGAGCTGTGAATCAGGAGTGTTCCCCATTGATTGAAGAGAAAAAACTCGTCTGCTCCGAGTGCCAGAATTTGATGGTGTCAGATGGTATTCATCTAGATATCATATATGAAATGAAAAATTGCAGAGGACTGCTATCTCTCTAGAAAGTATACTCTTTTCGTTTCGTTTTCCCTAGCATTTTTGCAATCACATCATAGGAGTAAAATAGAACTCTGTTGTTTTGCCGCATCTCAGAGGGGAGGAAAATGGAATGAAAGAATTTCTTCGTTGTAACGATAACAGCTGTGTATCGAAATTATTGCTGAAATATATCATGCCACTACAAGAAAAAATGATCTATATGAATAAAAGAAAAAAACCATCTCGACTGTGAGTGATATCTTAGTTCTTCACGAAAGAAAGTTTGGCCTACCCGGGAATGGCAATGCTTTCCATGGCATTTCTTGGTAATAGTGATCAAAAGCGTTTTCGTCCTTATCCCAGGACACGAATACAATGTCAAACTTGTGGTTCACGTTGTTGTAAATTCGATTGAACGCTTCAATCAATTTCGGTGTGAAAGTAACAGAAGGTGGACACCAGTGGCCACTAGAAAAGGAATTTATCAATCAATATGGATAAGAGTAAACTTACGAGAAATAGAGACCGATTGTCTTGCCATGGAGTTGACTCGTGCTTATGTACGTGTTAGCCCCGGCACTTCCATCAGTACTGTGCTGGAGTAATTGATCACCGAGCAACTCGCTTAACGTCATATCCTGCTTCACTGCTACTTGTTTGGTGTACTACGACGCTGTTTGAAAAGGAACTGGCACGGATCGTATTCCGAAAGCTCTTTGATCAAATATATGACGAATCTGGATTATTTCTCTTCTGAAATATATAAAAAATTACAGGTTTGAGAAAAACCGCCAATGAGAAATCTTCAACTCCTACCCATACTAGTGCAAAATGTTGTGTGACATTAAACAAAATGAATGAAAGTACAAATGTCTCTCAATAAATAATTTTACTAGCTCTCATGACAAAACTGAACGACCCCCTCATATGTACAAACAAAAAGATTCATATTGTAAGTGCCCAACTCGAATTTCTTCTCAAGAACAATGACAAATCAATCAAACTAAAAAACTTTGAACAGATTCTTCGTGGTTCATCATTTTTATCTTAGTTTAGTCTTATTGTTGTCAATGATGTTGCACAAGATTTTGTCTCTTAGCATCTTGTCGAAAAAGTACATCATCGTCATCAAATACAACTCAATCATCTCTCACAACTAGCATTGCTTTTTTGTTGATTTTAATTAAGGTTAATACTAAATATGAACATATTTTTGATCTCTTATAGATTGAGTTATAATCGAATCTGTTTTGGTGACTCGCATGACTATGGCCGAGATGACTATACTGAAAAACAAATTCTGAATGTACGAAATCAAAAAAGAGTTTCGTGACAGGTACGAAACCCAAAAATGGTTTCGATGTTTGCAACGAAATGAAAACCCTTTCAAAGGTTTCGTACATAAGTAGGAGACCCTTGAAAAAGATTTCTATGCCCTTTTTAAACTTCCTAATGGTTTCACGTGAACTTGCGAAACCTAAAAAAGAGTCCTTGCGAATTCGTTCCAAAAAGCGAAACCCTTTTTCGTCAGTCTGTACATATCTCACTTACCGTGCTTTCGAATCAACTGATTCCCAAATCGTATCTTCAGTTGAGCAGAGAGAAACGATTATACAGCGTCCTATTGAAGTGAAGACTAAATGAAAATTGCAGCCTCTTTATATACAAGATTAAACAAGAACAAAACTGCTCCGAGGCTTTTATAAATTGCAATGGTGTTTACAGAAAAATCGATTCGATGGGCAAAAACACTCGCATGTACAGTCTGTATTCTATTCGCCGAAAAACACCTCGTCAACAACAATTTTTCAGCTCGAACGGCATCACAAAAGTGACGATGCATGGGAAAAAGTCCTTCGTGAACATGTTTCTCGGCGAAGAGAACACAACCGCATGTACAACACAAATAACAGAAATAGATTGGCATTAAAACACGGCCTTGGTTGTGATGAATGAATAGTGAAAGGAAAAACAATTATAACTGTTTTTGTTTTGGAACAGGCCAATGTACGGTAGTTTGCGTGTAGGTTAGATGTTGTTATTTTCAAAAGCGTACACAGAAAAACAAGACGAAAACAAAAGGAATTTCATTACAGAATAGCAAACGAAAACAGACCG